AAGGAAGGAGAGAGAGAGAGAGAGAGAGGAGGAAAAACGGATGCGGAAAGAATAAAAGAGGAAAAAAAAAAGAAAAGAAAACGGATAGCAAAAAATGATATCAAAAAATATTAAAAAGCATAAATCAATCATTTTACTTTTTCATCAAAATTAATTTATTCCTCCGCAAAATGGCAACAAAACTGTTCATCATCAATTCATTTCATTCATCTTCATCCATTTACATCGTTCCGCTTTCATTTTTTCCGTCCAATTTTCCGCTTTTCATTTTCCGCTTCATATTTATCTTTCTTTTTATCCGAAAAAAAAAAGAAAGAAAACACACACACACACACACACACACACACACACATACATATACATTTTTCATAACTTTAACTCAATTTGTCACTTCAATCGACAAGGATTATGGTAAGTTAGACAAATTTTTTATCGTTCCAATTATATTTTTTAAATTCATTTGGGAATTTCGGTATGTATTCTTTCAAGTATTGGTTAAATCCTTCCCTTTCTCTCTTCTCTCTCTCTCTCTCTTCCTTTTCTTTCCTTCTTTTCCTTTTTTTTCTCTTTCTTTTTTTTTAAATCTTTTGTAGTGGAAAAAAAAATTTAAAAGAAAATGAATTGTTAAATATTACAATATGAACAAAAAAAAAAAAAAGAAAAAACATTATAAATTAGGAAACTTATTGTAAAATTAGTCTTTTATTATGGAAAATTAAATATTGTAAAAGCTAATTAATTAATTAACTATTAATTAATTCGAAAAATGGTAAATCAAAGAGTTCGAATATATTTTTTTAACGTGAAATTATCAGTAATCAAATGAATTGTTTCTTGTAATTGTATAATTCTATTTCGAATGATATTTTTATGTATTATTATGAAATTAGTTTGCAATTAATTAATTTAAAAAATGATAAATCAAGAAGTTTAAATGTCCTTTTTTTTAATGGTGATATTATCAGTAATCAAATGAATTACTTCCTGTAATTGTGTAAATCTATTTTAAATGATATCTTTACATCAAGGATCATTAGATTTAAATGCACATTGTTAAAAATGGTAGTATCTATCGTTCGATGGGTAAAAAATATATCATTTATATTATTATAATCAGTATAATTTCATTGTCATTTTTATATTGTAATCAATTAATATTTGATTATATTAGCATTTATCAAATTAATTAATTAATTTCTACAACATATTAACTGCTAATTGTTGCCAATTTGTTAATTATATTAATTATCATTACTATTATCATCAGATAATGTCATAGGTCAATCATTTTAATGACAATGGTTATATCATGCTAAGTTATTCTGTGAGAAATTGATAATAATTTTCAGTCATTCGAAACATTTTATCAAATCATCCCTAAATGTTTTAGGTAATGTATTTTTAATAAGTTTCAGTTCATTCCTTCTTCATCTAAATGAAACAATCAATCCAAAAAGTATGCTTAATTTTTCATTATCTTATTATTATAGTAGCCAATTTCAAGGAAACAGTTTCATTTTGTCAAATCAGAACTATGACATTCATCATAGAGGTAATGATGGGAAGAAGTTTGTGTGGAAAGGAAAGAAAACCCTTTGAACTTTTGAACTTTACTACTTATATGAAATAATTTCCAGTATGAAAGTTATCAGCATTCTTGCATTATATCAATAAAAATTTTTCAGTCGAGATGAATGAACTTCAAAAGGATCGTTTAGGTTTGAAAATGAAATTTAAAATTTTGAAAAGGAAAAAATTTTAATGTAATTAGTTTCTTTAAATATGTATAAAATATTCATACGCTTATTGAAATATTTTTATATGAAACAATGTTGGAAGATTGCTCTTTATTAGTTTGAGAACAAATGAATGAACAAAATGAGGAAATGAACAATTGGAACAGGGAGTAGAGAAAAGGAAAAAGGGGTGGGGATAAAAAAAAAATGGGTAATAAAGAGGTTAGATGTACTGTATATAATACAGCGATGAAAAATAGATTTGGCACCTCGACCTCAAAAGACTATTCCTTGAATTAGTAAAATATTGTAAATAGTAAAAAAAAAAAAGAATTTGTCAATTTCTAGAGATAAAAGAAGTTAGGCAATATCAATCAATTCCTCAAAATTGTCAATGTGATATTTATAATGATATCAAAATGAGGAATAAAAATGAGAAAAAAAAAAAAAACACCACATGAGATACAATATGATACGTTGGGATTTTAAATAATTAATATAGCAAAGAAAAAAAATGAAACAAATAAATAAACGAATGAATATATGAAAACTTACTTCAATACAATTGCTGGGAAAGGAGGAGAAAAAATAAATTTCGAAACATATAAGATCAAGATAACTTCATACGAAATAGTTAAAATAGATGGGAAAAGAAATAGTACAATAAAAATTCAATTTTATTACTAAGAATGTTAGATCAAACTGAGTGAAACAAGTGTTGGAATATGTATAAAATTTAATGAAAATGCTAGGAAATTGATCAAAACACAATTTGCCATGATAGAATTAAAAATATCAACCGTCACTGCAATATTCACCTCATGTAATCAATGGGAGATATAAATCGTTATCAGCAGTTTGATTATAACAAAATAAAATACTTCATAGAAAACTCGGAAAATTTCCAACATTTGGAGTTCTTTAAACCAAAAAAAAAATTCTGTAGCTTCAAAGAGAAAAAAAATGAAGAAAGGTCATACGACAAAATATGTTACTCATTTTGCAAACAATCTAATAGAGAAAACTTATGATGTCGGCTGTTTAATTAGCTATACTGTCCAGTCAATTCATTAATGGGACTGTTATTGGTGATGAAGTACATGTAATACAACAATATTGAAATACACAGTCAAATCAAAAAACTATTTTTACGGCAGATGCAAGAAATCTGGATAAAAACTTAGGTGACGATACACAACGAAGAATGGACCTAATTCACTGAAAAATAAACTACCATCAAACTAAAATAAGATTTAGGAATACGCAAAATTCACAAATAACATAGAAAATCTTGTAAGAATGATAAAAAATCCAGTAAGAAAAACACAGCAATAAGAAGGGATGGAACTATGCATTAGACTTGAATAATCCAATAATCAACAAAAAAGCTGAAAAATTAGAAAAATGAATAAATTATGTGGGCAAAAAAACATTGCCGAAAGAAAAAACTTTTCTCTTTGAAAAATAAACTATCAAGTTCAAAGTATCAAGAAATCATACAATTTGATAACAGACAAAACAAATTTACAATTATGAGGAGCAGACTGAAAATGAAGTACGGGATGCAAATTGGATAAAAAAGGAAAATACTAAACATAAGAAGTACCAACAAATAGTAACCTAAGATGGTATTACCATCTTAAAGGTTTTTGCAAAAACAAAACATATCTGGAAGAAAGTGTGAAATATATTAGCAGAAATTTCAACATAAATTTAGGTCAACCGTTTAAATGCAAAACATAATTCTGCGACTCGTAGAGTCTTTTAATTTTAGATAAACTTTATGGCGATGTATAATCTTGAATTAAAACTGCAGATTTCGCTATCAGTTAGTCAGATCAGATATCAGCTGGTTAGGTCGTCCTTTTGCGGTCCTTTGCTACGACCACGGAGTCCACCACCACGGCAACGATCGGGCCTTCCACCTAAAAATATTGAAACTTTTCTCTATCAATATAGAAGTAATAATTGCAATGAGGATGAAATTGAAAAAATTTAACGGACAATAAAAATACATACGTCCGCCTCCTCTAAAATATGCGAGTGGCATTCGATAAGCATCTGATGGTGCAACACAGCATGCTGGTGGGTTTTTTCTCCAGTGCCTCAAAAATTATTAAAAGCACTACAAAAATGTGCTCCTGCACTATTAACGTGAAAAAGATCACATGCAAATGCCGTCTTGTGCTCTGATTAATTTAATCTAACCAAAATGAATTTTAGTAGATTTTTCACTGATCTAATTTTGGTACATTTCCTGTTAGGTGTAAAAACTAGGGAAACTACAAGAAAGATTAAAAGCTGAAAAATCAAACGCTACAAAATTTTACCAATCTCTTCGACGATTTTCTCGTCGTCGTTCTCTAATTTCTTCATTACTGCGGTGTTCTTGCTGCTCCTCCACTGCAAGTAACTTTTATGAAATGTTGAAATCGAAAGACAAAAATATGTATAATGGATAATATGTAGACCAATCAAAACTACCTTCGTTTTTTAAATATACCCGATCAATTCAGTAAAAATCTGTTTGCATGACTGCGAACAGAATGGACTACCTCCCAAGAATCACTTGAACATACAGCATTGACACAACGATCTAAATTTGGAATATGAACTCGTGGTTCATTCTTAATCACTAAGCGAATGCAGAACACTATAATTTCATACAAATCTGTCCCACCCTTTCATAATGTTCAGAAATTAATGAGAGAACAATTAAGAAAAATTTTTATAAATCCTCAAGTGTTAAACAATTGTTATACGAGCATATCTCATCCACATCAGAATAAGTGAACACATCAGAATTTAGGATGATACTATAAAAAAAGAAAAAAAAGAAAAAAAACCTACTAGCTATATCAAATGATCGAGTTGATTGCGGCCTCGATCTATTTACAAACTGTCGGAACATTCGTCGAATACGTTGATCGTCTGGACGAAAATGATGGGGAACGAAATGTCCATGTCCTGATCTCTGAGCAACCGCAACTGTATCGTTAGGGTTTTCTTGTCGATCATCTGATTCTTCAGTACTTCGTTCTTGCGATAAATCATGGTTACCCGAAGTATTATTTTGTTCCTCTTCCACATTCACTGCTAATACTTGTCTCCCCTTTGTTATTCCAGCTTCTTCTAACGTACTCATACATGGATCTTCGGGAACCTGAAAGCGTTTTCATTTCAACTAAGTATATACAGTTTGTCCTTCCGCATTCTTATTTTTTCCTTTATCGTTTTCTCTTATAACTGCAGATGACAAACAATACAACGAACTTGTTCTTCTTCAGGTGGTAGTGATCGCACACTAAAAGTGTCATCACCAGGTTCATCTGAATGACTGCTTGCTGTGGCATTCTCTTCTTCAGGACGATAAGACAAAGGATCACTGTTATCAACGCCTAAAACAAATAATTCTTTAGCGATTTCCAAATATAAGCGGATGATATTCATTACGGATTTTCTTTTTTTCGGGTACATCAAATCAACAGTTTTGAAAGTCTTCTAAAATTCAAACCTTCGTCAATTTCGAGAGACTGTATACCGGGTCCACCACAAAAGTCAGCTCGATTGTCTGAGTTTGAAATTCCATTCGACTGTTTTGGCCGCTGATTTCGTGTCATAAGATAAGAACTACCAATAGAAGTCTCTCGTTGGCACTGCTCTTCTGTGTGATCTGAGAGTTGTCGACGACGAACGGATCGTTCACTTGTTGCCTAAAGGTTTGGAATCTAAGAAAACTAAAGACAAATGAGTTTGGAATTTCAAATTTACATGGTTTAGTTCAAAGAAACTTTAAACTAAAGACAGAAAAGGAAGAGAGGAAACAAATGACTATCTAAGCTATTTAGCCTTCAAAAATAGTGAAACAATACAGCAACACAGAGAATTCTAAATATGTAAAGCCTTACTATATCTACCTCATTATTTATGGAATTCGGAGAACGTTCTCGAAATCCTGGCAAGTCAGTACAATCTGCAAAGCCCGCACGACGATGATCTTCCAACAATATTTGATTTATGGTTGCAAGCAGTTCCTTGAAAAAAAAAAAACAAATTTAAATCAAATTCCAGATTTTGTCAAAGAAAAACGCTGTTTTGAAATTATCCATAAGGAAGACTTTCCAACTATCTCACACTTTAGTCTATCTTTTTGTGAATTAAATGCTTTCATCCGTAGCAATTGAGTAAAGAACAAAGGTCCAAGAATGAGTGTCTACCGCAAATAAGTCAAATATGAAATGAAGCCTAGCAAACAACATTAATCATTATCAAATAGTACCATACCGATAATGAACCAGGAAAAAAAAACCTTAGCTTCCTCGGTTTCTGAACGATCAGGTTGTTTCATTACGAATATAAAGTAAGTCATCAGTTTGACACGCAGCTTTAACATTAACTGCATATCCTGAAAGCAATTCTTGGCCATTCCTCTTGCAAGCTAATGAGAGAGAGGAAAGCAAGGAAATCACAAAAATAACTTAAAAATACAAAAATCACTGAAGCGAACAAAGAACAATTAAATCTATCGCATTTCGGGAATTTTCAAAAAACAAAATTCAGAAGCTAACCTCAAATTTCCATCGAAAAACCAGCCACGGCTCAAGCGCAAAGACGCATTCATCGGTGTTCGAATCCGTGTCTACATCATCATCATTCAATGCAAATTCATCACCTAAAATTAATGAACTACTAGTCCTTAACTGAAATACAAACACTTTCTACTGCAAAACGTCAAACATGGAAAATTCATTTCTAATGAGAAAATTACTTCCGAAAAAGCCAATCAACTTACCTATGGAATAGTCATTCAGAACTTCACGTTTGAGATGAACGGGACCGGCAAACAATAATACGGTCAAAGGTGGAACTGCCGTAACTGTTCGTAACTATAAAAAATTAATAGTTTGTTTTAAATTTGAATTGAAATTTAAAGACTTATAGAAGCAATGAGTTAAATTAGCGAAATCACTAGAAGGAAGAAGGTATAGCAACATTGGCAATAACCTACACTCAAGTTATCACCAGTTTTGGATAATTCCTGGAATGCAAGATATTCAATAACCGGTTCCGGTTTCCCCAACTTTCCAACTCCCATTCCGTTCATTCCAGCAGATGAAGCCTGTCGTTTAACTGCACATCCATATGGTAACGACGCAACCTCGTTACTGTAAAAATTCAAATTCTGAAAATTTAATTTAAAAACCATGAAATCTTGTACTAAATACAGCTTTATCAGAAATCCAAAATGTTTTAGAATGAAAAGAATAAACAACACTTTTTTACAGCAGAAGTATGTTAGACAACTTTTTCAAGAAAGACTGATTAGCGAGATACAATCTTTCGTGCTCACTTTATGATAAGCACAGCTCACGATACTCATGATTCCTGATAAAAATAATTACCATTCCTATCACCACAAGAATTAGAGATCTAAATTTGGTTTTTAATCAAAAATAAAACATAGATTATTGAAATTAGAAAGCCTCATCTTACATTGCATTATTAAATGGCAAAAAGTTTGAAAAAATTTTTTCAAATACCTTGTACGTATTTTTCGAATTTGACCACCCGAACGGGTAAAACCAATGTTAGGGTAACTGCCCGCTACGAGAGCCGCTTGAATCATTGGCCAAGAATTACTATATCGATTGAAATCGGGATCATCTGCTGATCGACAGCTTGCAGGTAACAGTCGAAGCTTTTGGAGTTCCATAAACAGTTGCTGTCTAGAATGACACTACAATACATCAAAAACTACGAATCAGTAATGGCGCATAAGACCGATTAAATTAATCGCAATGAAAGTGTCTTTTTGGTTTAAAAATTTTTGAAAATTAACAAAAAAAGGATCGAAACACCAGAATGCCTTCGGACCATTCAACCATTCAAATGTAGGTAGCACAACTTTTCCCGACTAAATACTGAATCGAAAAAAAAGGCTAAAAAAGGAACTTTTGAAAACCACTATCGGTAAAAGAATCAAGAAATATTGATAGGCTTTCGTACCCAAAAACAAAAATATTTGTTGGTAGGCCGGAAAGTTTACTCAGTGCTCTGATCCTTAGACCTTATTCAGTTCGATGTCACTGTCAAGGAGTGAACCAAAAATAAAGAACTTTATCTTTTATATCAAGTTTAACCAATTTGAGTAAAATATGAAACCTTCATTGTAACAGCTAGATGAAACTTAATTTGAGCAAAAAAAGAAAGATGTACAAAAACTTACCGAATACCAACGATCATTCTCATTGCGTTGAGAGATAAATAATTACTCGTGCAAAAATTCGACTGACCATGGGACGGTAATTTTATAAACGCGTTATATATTCTCAAAAATGTCATATGATCAGAGTAATCAAAGCCGGCGAAAACATCACGTGCTATCATTGCGGAATTCCGTTCTTCTCGTTCACCACTCGGTGGCAAGACAACTAGAACAGTAAGTATTCGTAAATCATTTTGAATAAAGTGGAAGGATGGGTGAGAAAAAAAAAGGATCAAGTGAATATCTAAAGACCAAATATAATAACTTACAAGGATCACGATGCGAGAGAGTGGCAACAAGTGTCAAAACGGGACTCAAACATTTCAGGCAAATACCAAAAAGAAGAAATCGAGCCAACTGTGGGCATAACGGAAGTTGCACAATGTGACGTCCTAGATCGGTTAAATCCGGTTCACCATTTCGGTCACGAGTATTTGCAAAATACGAATTATCTGTTATGTGTGACATCTGCGATGATTCTTGTCGACTTTTGAAAACTGCACCAATTTGCTGCAAATGTATTTTCCAAAAGTTTTGGATACTACTTAACAGAATAATATCCAGCAAGAGAATGTGATGCTGACTGTATGATCAAAAAAATCATCGGTTAATCATGATTAAAAGGAAACAGTATCACAGACAGGAAAACAAGAGATTTTAAGCAAGAAATTATGAGCTGTTGAATTTTTCGATACAAAGGTTAAAAACAGTTCGAATTTTTTGCTTCCAAATATTATGACAACCTCAAGAAATTCAAAACTTCGATCGATAGCCACTGCTGATGGTGGTTCCGGTGCGTTGAGCAAAAATTGTCGAACTGAATATTTTCTTGGGGCAAACATCTTCGCATGTAAACATACTTCATGAATAGCGCTTCTTTTCATTTCAGGCAACTGAAACAGTGTAATTTATTGAGGAATTTATGACCGCACTTCAGGTCAATCTTAGCAAATAAAATAATTTACTTCAGAAAAACAAAAAAAATAGAAGGAATATGAAATGATATCAAAGCAAACATGCATTAAAGACCTGGGTTGGATTCATTCTTGCATAATCTTCCGTTGTGAATAATCGAAAGCAATAGCCATTTCGACATCTTCCAGCCCTGCCGGCTCGTTGTTCAGCATTCGACTTTGCTATCCACGTCATTTTTAGTTGACTTATACGTGTTGAATGGTCGTAGATTTTCTAAAGCGTAGAGAAAACATGATTAGTGTATTTCAAAGTCTTCATACTTCTTATACGTTACAGGAATACGTTAATAATACAGAACGAACAAGTGGATCAAAAAGAAAGCTCAGCAGGGTGAATATCTTCTGTATAAAAGAAACATGGCTATGTCCCTTCATATCTAAGAGACAACTAAAATGACTTTGGCGACATACCGAACTCCTTCACCAACTTTAACATCAATATGAGAGAGGAAAATTTCAAAACTGTCGAAATGTATAAATTATTACCTCCTTGACTTTGCCACAGTCAATCACGAAAACAACATCATCGATTGTCAAACTTGCTTCAGCAATATTCGTACTCAAAATCTGCAATGTACTTGAATTTCGCTACTCCCACTTGTGATCTTATAGAAAACTAAAGGCTTCTGGAACGGTAAAGAATTATTACATTTCGTTTTTCGCCTCCTTCTATTCGCACTTTATCTCACTATCCTTAAAAACCGTTACATGGAACGATTAATCTGGTTCGATAATGTAGCTTAAGACGTACCACTTTACGATAACCACGACCAACTGGCTCAAATATACGCTGCTGATCCTGACTACCCATTTGAGAGTGAAGGGTAAAAATGGCTGGTTTTGTGGAACAGCCTTGCATTTTAATAGCCTTTTCACGTACAGCTAAAATGTCTTCATAACCAGGTAGAAACACTAGAATTGAACCTGAAAAAAGTTTTTTTCAAAACAACTACACACCCGGACCATGACAATTTTGAAATCTTATTTCTTGGTTTACCTGATCAGGCATTTACACTCAAATATAAAATGACCAGATCTGGGAAACCAAACTTATTATTGAAAAGAATCATGCAAATTTTCTAAATTTTTTCGCTTTATTTGTGAAGGAATTTTGAAAACACTTGCCATGAACTGGACTATCCATGCAGTAATTAATAACAGCTACCGTTAAATCCGTATCAACACTTTCCAACCACTGTTCACCACCAGATATCATATATGACTGTAAAAGGCACGTGTAATGTATTTGAATTTTTTCAAGTTATTTTTTTCTGATTTTCAAATTTCGACCTAACCAACTGAATTCATTCCATACTTTCGTTTGTGCTGCATTCATTATTTTTCACTTGATCCTTCTTTTAATTTATATAAGAAATGTTATCTTTTAAGCAAAAAATGTAATACGTGAAGTCTTACATCGACCAGGTAAACCGTATCCAAGTTAGTATGCCGCAGAATTTCCACATATGACGGATCAAAATGTTGCGGACGGTCGCGTAAACATGATACATAATATTCCTGATCGCAGTGTGGCTAAAAAAAAATGCTCAGTACAACAATAGTAAAGTATCATCTTACAGTTAAAAACTTGCTAGACAGTAAACAAAATTGTGCATAATCTTCGTCCACTAAGATAATGATGGAGAGCGAAGGAAAAAAGGAACTCTTATTATTGACACTAGGCTTGAAAGTGCCAAATGATGAAGATGGCAAAGCAGACATACCTCATCTCGGTGTCCTGAATGGACGTTTGACAACGAAAACGGTACTGATGGTCTAGAAATAATTGAAATTTAACAAAGAAAGTGCAAAAAATTCTAAACCAACGCAGGAACAAAGTAAATAACAGCATTTACTCAAATTTAAAACAGAATAACCATCCTAAGATTTTATATAATAAATAGTCATAAATAGGAAATAACAGTAATTAATACCCTTGATTAGAAAAATTTGATCCATTTGAATTCCACTGCGTCCCAAATCCATCAGCATTATTTGTGGATACATAGAATTTTGAAGGCTGTGTGTAATTTTGTAAATTTGGAGGCTGTAACACATTGATTCCATTAGATATTTAATAAATATAAGGATGTGTTCAATTTTTTCCAGCTATTTTAAGACAATTTTTAGAATATTGAAATTACGGTTTTTTTTCTTATACGATGGCCTCAACTATGTTATTGGTTAACTGTTAGATTTTTCACTTCAGTTGCTTTGCTAATTTGAAAAGTTTTCCCTTTTTGTCTTTGTATCCAACAGTGGTAATTCAAATCTAATCAGTCACTATTAGTGAATGATATAATGTTAACAACCTCGGTCCCTAATAACATCTTGCAATTGATTAGAATAAGGACTTACCATAACGTAGTAATTTTGGTAATCATTTTGTGCCGGCATCACATGATATGTTGCACACATCATCTGTGGCCCACCAACATATGATGCCATCATACCATATGGGGTCATTGGGATCTGCTGAGCATATATACAATTCGGTGGTGGTTGAGAGTAATTGAAACCCTGTAAACAACTAACATTAGAAATTAAAAATGCATTTGAACTTTTCAGGAAATTTCTCGTCAAAACATGCCTATTATTAATATGAATTTGCCAACGTGCTAAGCGGTTAAGCAGCTGAAGGAAATTTAAAGAAAAAAGAGTTTATATCGACGAGGAACAAACTGCAAAACATCTCAGTTTTAATGAGATTTCGAGATTTCACCCAAAATTTACAGCTAAATTATGCAGTAGTTCTGCACCCTACCAAGATTTCCAAACCATTAAACCATTTCTGCTTCTGCTCATTTATGTATGTCAACATTTATCAGATCCACCAACATGCTGTGACTTTTCAAAAAAATTTGACGGCAGAAAAAATTAATTTAAGATTTAAGATTTAATTTAAGAAGGAACTTACGGCTAGTCCGCTTTGTGATGGATACATCTGGTACCCATCATAGAATGCTGGCTCCTGATAACAACCATTTTGTTCACTGCTTCTTATATTCATTTGGCTATACATTTCAGTTAAGCTAATCTGTCCTAAAAAGCGTTCCTCAGTTCAAATTCTAATAGTCAACTTGAAAAAACAAAGTGAAATTGCTCCCACAGATTCCGAACTTGATGAGAAACTTTAATCCTTTAAGTAAAGAAAGTAAAAAACAGTTTGACAGTGCGTAGAACATACCACTGCAATTTGTGTAATAGCCTTTTTCTTGATGTGAATTCGAAGAGATTCTGCAAAACGTACACTTTTGATTATCTTTCTTATATCTCAGAATGCATTGTTCATTTCTTTTTGTTTTTTAAGTAATGCAGTAACCAAATTTAATTATCTTACAAGTCAAATAAGACTATTCTATGGATTTCGACAAATAAATATAGAGATCGTTCCTTATGCATATGTACTTCACTTATAAAAAGCCTAATGCACTGAATAAGTGGACTTTTCTCGACTTCATACAGCATATTATACTGAAAACACTTATCAGAAAAAACTGTCCTGACTTGATCATTCCTAGATTGAACAATTATCCATCGGTCAGTCTTCGACCAGACCATACACGACTCACACATTTAGAAATGCCCACCAGCCATCTATCCCCCCTCCCATGTTTAGCAAAAAAAGTAAGGACTTTGATATAGAGGAAAGAACCAACTGAGGATATAACTGTCGATTATTGAACTGATTGATCATTATTGGAGAAAAATGATCACTTGCAGGAACAGATGATGCTACTTGTCGTGACGGCATTACTTCATAATTGCTATTCATTTCATCAGCATTCTGAATAAGTGGATTGATTTACAAAAGAATGCGCTAGAAGTCTACCTTTATACAGTTTCATTTCGTGAAACATCGGTCGAAAATTCAATTCTTACCTCAAATATATAGTAGTAAAAAGAGCTTACCTTTTTCTTACCATTACGTCCTTGATGTAATTTTGAATCATCATAATTTTCAGAACGAAATTCATCCACTTGAGGGAAACTGTAAAAAGGAATAAACATAATCACTGATTTCAAACAACCATGAATTCCGAAGACTCTAGAGATAGACTTCGAAACTGCAACTGCGTTGGTTTTCGACTAAACAAATTTTCATTTATTTATAGATGATTAACCTGACAAATGTTATCACCTCGAATTACTAGACTATTCGGTTATGCAGCTGAATTTACCCTTTAACGGATAAGATAAGGTTCCACACCGTCAAACTGCATCGTTTACATCTGTCCTATTGAGAAATGGAGGTTTTCCGATAAATTAAAGCTTTGAAGATATCATGCTTCAGTACCATTTGGTTAACCTATTAACTTGCAATGTCGAAATTCGCTATCAAGACGGTCGATGCTGCAGTAGAATTTCTTAACTCGAAAACAAACAGTACGCACCTATTGTAAGCCTGATCATCATTCAAGCTCCTCGCAGTTTTGCCAAAGAACGTACCGCCGGTAAACGAAGATGCGTGTTTGTAATCTGTCAATGCCAATATTTCCGGTAAATAGAACATTTCTACCTTGTGTAATGTGGATGGTACTGAAATGAAAATCGTGTAATAAATCATAAATCAAATAACATAAACAATTATGCGACAGAAACGATAAAAGTCGAAAAGTAAATTTTCGTCGTTTTTTCGATTAAGTACTTCGTGGGTACAATTTACCAGACATTTTAGACGAACTTGCGGACAATTAGTTAGAATTTAGGAGAGGGTGAAATAGTGAGATATTTTATTAGTACAGGTGCGAGTTTTCCAAGCAATTTTTTTACCCTTCGTTATTTTGTTTATCCTCATTTGCTTCTAATACACATTTTAATTATTATGACAGGTCATAACTTAGAACAACAGTGATCATTATTAGACATTATTTCCATCATGTTTACAATGATCGCTGGTCCAAAGCATGATGTGGAGGTTTTACAAGATGAATATATCCGAATAACCTCGGAACTTATAAAAAAAGGCTTCAGTTACTCCTCACCCTCTTCCCCAGTCGATTTCTTCACGTGCTAGCTAAGTTTCCGAAAAACAAATTAATTTTAAATGAAACAAGACCAAAAAACGTACTGTCCAGACAAAAAACATTTCCAGGACCAAAATAACGTCTAAATAATTCGCGACTTTCTTCCATTGTTGCCGACATTAAAATAATCTAAAAATGTCAAGTTAAGAACATTATTATGCTGATATTTTCACGTCAAAAATTAAAACTAATAATTTTTAAAGTCCCATAAAACATAACTTACCCTTAAATCATCTCGATTTTTAAGAGCTTGTCGGAGTGTTATCAGAAGATAATCCGTTTTTTGTTCTCGTTCATGAATTTCATCCTTAAATTTAATACGATCAAATTCGTTCGCTGCAATGTAAAAAAAAAATAAAAAGACGAACTTATAAATAACACTGATCGCAGTGTTTTGACTGGAACCGCTTGCTTCTTACTCGAATTCAACAACTTTCTCAAGTAATTACTACCGATTCTATGGAATGACAAAGAAAACTTTTTAATTCTAGAACGTACATCAAAACGTAATAAAATGCGGAACGAACAAAACTCGTAACAAAAAAGACGTAACAAAACTCGACTGGTACATTATGTTAGCAAAGTTTGTTTCGATGTTCTAAAAAAAATTATATTATTCTTTGCTACAATAATTGACAAGATTTACTAATCTTGAAATGGAACAAACAAATTAACCACAAACCAAGATAATGTGTGAAATATTGGAAGCATTAGTATCATTTGTAAGCAGTCGCAACAAAACTCCACTAGTGCAATATGTTAGTACAGTTTGTTCTGATGTCCTGAAAAAAATGAAATTATGTTAGAAATATTAAAAATTTCAAAATCTAGTATTCAGCAAAAAAAATAAAATTTCATTTATACAAAATTTGTTACTTTTAGATTTGTAGAAGATGACGGTGAAAAAAGAATACTTTTGCTCCAGTCGAATATGATAACCAACTGTTGATCCCAGTTTCTCGTTCCGCTCTTTTGCTACACGTGCAGATACCGCAAGAACTGGCAATCTTCGCGGCTGCGTACAGAATATTCGAACCGCTTGTTGATGTTTCGCAGCATCTTCCAATATAAACTGGGGAACCTAAAGAAGTTTGTAGAAGACATTGTACGACGGTATGTCTTCGAAGAATACTAAGGTTACAGTTCCCTTTGCCGTCCGATCGTGCTGCCTAATACCATCTCTCTCACCCTTGTCTAATTTTTTATTCCCCCACATTTTTTTTATATTTTATTTTATTTTATTTCTTTCCCTTTTTATTTTCCCACGTAACCTTGTAATTTTTTTTGGCAATAAACATAACAGAAGATTTCCGAACCATACCGGTGAATCTATTTGGCAACCAGATTTCTCAAGCCATAATACTCTTCTTAGAAAAAAGATATTTCGACCATTTCCACTGGATTAAATGAATAACCAGGACCGATAGAAACTTCTAAGTGACACTCAACAGTGAAGTTTCAGTCTTAAAGCATCAACTACTTCACAGAAGACAATGAAAATGGCTTTTCCGGCTGTTGCCACCTTGTTTTCAATACATTTCAAAGTCGATGAAAATTTGCGGATGACGTTATCGTACTCTAACCGTTCAGCAAATTGTTATAAGTTATTTTGCAAGGAACATTCACCTAGTTCCGTCATCCCGGATGTCACATTTGAAGAGACGACCCAAACTTTACTAACATTATTTGATTCCTCATGGTAGTATTGCTTTAAAGGAAAGAGTGAAGATTTTGTTTCATATCGAGGGAGAGCAGACCATGAATATCGATGGTACTAATTAGCTTCACTTGTCAAAGACCATTTCAAGTACCTTATATTTGTACGGAAGTCTAGTCAAAAATTTTAATTAAACCTAAAAATCCTCAGTAACTAAGAATGAACAATCTGTGAATACTTCAAAATTAATGTTCGAATCCAACCGCTTGCTTAGTCTGAAATATGACAATGAAATGACTGAATCATGTTCCATCATCCGGCCAATATTATGCTAGTTTCTAGATTTTCACCCAAATTATTCAAAATAAAAGTGAAGCTGAGTAAGCGAAGATATGCATAACGTACATGAAGGATACACTGTCAACATAAAGAAGTAGAGAGCGAAAAGTAAAGTCTTCCCTCATCTACGTTCACGCATCCCAAATTAGTAAATTTTTTGATAAATTAGTACTTCACTAAGGTATTTATTTCTTAGCTTCCGAGAACAAATCCATTCCCTCTGAAACATCGAAAGACTTCCTCGTTATCTAGTTTTGCATTACTCAGGTTCAGACCAATACTATCTCTGACTTTACAAGCGCATCCTGCCGTAAAACAGTTTTAGTCAGTAACTCCGCGTTCAGTCAAGGCAAACTAAGATACATTTATCGAGTTATGTAGTTTTCTAGTTCGGGATACCAAAATGTTTTTAGCACAAAACAAATCTTTTTCAAGCAATCGTTTTATAAGCTCTACAATACACCTTTATCAAGCACGCCTTTTGTTCATATCTTGAAAGTTCATCTACGCTCACCTGTCTCTTTCCAACATTTCCAACAATGAGGTTGGTACTTCAAATTAACACGACTTCATCCCCAATCAGTTTTCCGTAAGATATGTTCTATTCTTTATATTGTTATCCTTGGATAGCAAAAAACAAAGCTGAAAGATTTGCAGAAAAGCTCAGTTGTAGCTAAGGAAACATAACGAGTTTTGCGACATGTGTTTCCTCTAAGACTATACTGAGCATCGAAAATGCATCATCACTCCTTCCTTTTTTGGCCAAACTGTCAGTTTTAGATCGCACCAAATAATGATATTCCTACACTTACTGACTCTTCGCTTCTTGCTCAATATAATCAATAGCGAAATAGTCCTTACAGGAATTTTCAGATCTATTTTGCCCAGCTATCACTTTAATATTAAATACTCCGACACCTCGAAATCCGGCTTAACATTCTCTCATTGTTTAACTCCTATAGCATCTCAGAATTTTCTCTCGTTCAACAATATCGAATTCATAATCTTTCTATCCATAAACAAACATTGAAGCCGAAGAATTGTTGATGTTTCCAAGTACTCTAAATATCATAAATCTTGAAAAGATTATCTCCTGCATAAATTTTGAACGTTCAAATTAAACTACACTGTTGCTTTCCTATAGAAAAATTGTGTTATAATATGCTTGGATATTTATTTATGAATTGCTGTACTTCTTTAGGTATATATGGTTGATATCGATCTTTTGTTACCCTATTATTCAGTGGAATTTTTCTTTGTTAATTTATTTTTGTAGTTTATCTAATATCAGTTATTACTACAAAGTTTCTGATTACGTATTATTGCTATTATTATCATCCTTTTTTTCAATTGTGATAATATATACAATTTTGATTACCATATAAATTACAATATTTTTTATTTTATTTTTTTAAATTATTCCTCTTTTTGTACTCGCTGCAAATGATGCCAGCATGGAACTTATTCTTTTTTCTTATCCATGCTTAATCGAAGGTAACAACATTTTGCAACGATCTCACCAAAGTGCTGATTTCATTAAATGAATTCAGTACAATCTTTCCCGTAAATTTTAACAATATGAAGCTGTCTCATCAGTTCATACTCCATGGGTACACAAACTCTTATTCAGTTAATGCGGACCTCATTCTATTTCTCATCCACCAAAACTTTTTTATAGGAGCAAATGCTATACTTCGCTACCTACATTGTATCCTAAAATTCTTCCCCTATTTGGTCTCCATATCTCCTTCCTTCTTCCACATCCATTACATACATACGCACACACACACACACGCACACACACACACACACACACACACACACACACACACATACACATACATATGTATTTTTGAAAGACTCTTGAACCCAACCCTCATTAACAGGGAAAAGGAAGGACTGGAAAGGTTACAATAAAATTTAAGTAAATTACCGATTACTATGAAGTAAATCGTTGATAGCTCCTGATGTAAATCTTTTACATTTGAAAACGTGATATGTAAAATAGAATGAATCACTGTGCTCTCGATTATAGTCGTGAAATCCGATGAACTGACGAGTTCCGCGCTTACTAAAAGCAACTACTAACGAGTGGCTTGTGCATAAAATCCAGTCATCGTTAAGAAACGATTACCTGTGTAGTCTTGCCACAACCAGTGCCACCAACGATCATTGTTACTTTATGATTACGAATAGTTTGAAGAATTTCGTCCTTCATTGCATAAGCCGGTAAACTTTTTCGGAAATTCTCTACTGAATGCCGCACTGACGTACAAGGTGGAACCAACATCGGTCTGTTAAAGCTTGAATGATAGCGACTACCTACTTGTCGGCCTAAAACAAACAATATGGATACGGCAGTTCGACACAAATAAAGCATAGAAAGCGTCAAAATCACGGTATCAACTGCACAAAAATATGTAACCATGAAAAATTCTTCAAACAAAAATAATTGGAAAAGATCATTTGGAATGAAAGATGCATATTGCCTATCACATCTTATGCAAGAGAAAACTTAGACTGCTATGTTTACTGAGTATTCCGTAACTTGGGCTAATAACAAATTTGCAATCAAAAAGAATATATTTGAACAAGACATATTTCTGGTTATATTAAAATTACAATCGTTTCAGTAATTCATTTCAGTAATGATTGTTTTTCAACAAGTAACTTATCAATACATGAAACTTTGCTGAAATGAAATGGTATGAGAATTTGAAAATGCTACCTTTGGTTATTCTTTTCTATACAATTCTGTCATGCGGATGTATCAATGTGTATCAAATCAGGAAAGAAAGTAGTGCTACTAATTGGAAGTATGTTTAAAAATCATCAGAAGGATATATAAGTATTAATTGAAGCAGTATCTCGATGAGAAGGGAAGAGTAAACGTACTTGCATTGCCGGATCGAAGGTACAAGTCGATATCACCATAACCTAACGGAAATATAGTCAAGAAACGCGACAATGCTCGTTTTTGAAATATACTCAAAACAATTGGTTCCGAATCCCTAGCATTCGTGTAAGTACACAGATCGACATGTGGAAAACGTGTTACTACAACGCGACGATTACATCCGCTTCTGAAATATTCAACAATTTTAACTTGGTTAATACCATTAAAAGCAAGTTTTCTATCATAAATCATTGGAATTTTAACATATACTAGCTTAAAATTCCAATTATATTACACTTCGCTGAATTCCTTCATTGAACAACTGCTATCCGGTAGTGAGTAAAAGGAATAAAAAAACAATCGTAAATAATTACCCGATACTGTGGGACTTCAGACTGCAATTCGTAGCTATAGAATGTACAATTTTCCTTTTCTCAATTGATAGTGGCTCCAGGATGATTTCTGAAAATAGAAGTGAAAGTAAAGCAAAAGTAAATGACGACAAATAAAATTTTATAAAGGATCGGCATGCTAAACACTTCTCCTCACTTACTATTTCACCTCTACTTTCTATCCCCAATTTCACCAATTAGTAATGTAACCATTCGACATATATATGCATATATATGCATATATATATATGTATATATATATATATAATATATATATAATATATATATATATATAATATATATATATATATA